TAAACCGTTTTGTCAGCATAAACTGTCTTGCAAAGTCGAAGACCCAGTGTGTGCACTCTGATATTCCAGGGGGTTAGTGATTATCTCCTAGGAGCTGGTCAAAGGCCAATTTTTCTTTGGAATGCAAAGGGTTTGAAAATCCCAACACTGCTGAGTTAACACTTGACTGCACAATAGAGAGAAAGAGTCTGTGTGACTGTGGGTCTTAAGTAAAAATAAAGAAATAAATCACCTGAAATCTTGAAAAATGATACCTGCAAAAAGTTTGTATTTATTTGTTTTGATGATGAGAAAAAAAGAATGAGGAAAGAATAAAACCAACTTCATAGAATAGCAATTGGTCTTATTTTTGTTTGGGGATGTCAGCCTCAGCAGAGTAAAGTGTTGCCATGTGTGATCCTAACAGAGTGGCAGCCCAAGGAGTGAGTGATAGCTCAGCAGCACTGTAAATGTTTCACTGCTTTTCCAGATGCCCGTTCTCTTGAAGAAAGTTTATGTTGTATTGAACTGAAAGTTTGAGAATTAACTACTTATCAATCTTTTTCTTTTAATTTTTTGTCCCCCACCCTGCTCTCTATACTTCCTTTTCTGAACTGCAATGTGGTCTTCTTTGAAGATGTTCCAGTGGCTTTGATCGCCATCGGCAGGACTGGGTGGACAGTGGATGCCCTGAAGAGGTACACAGTGCTTTATTGTGACAAAATTCCTGGGACCAAGCTGTCATAGATATTTGCCACAACTTAATGAAAGTGGTATCTAATTTAACCAAAATAAGCAGCAGTTATTGAACCCCTAATACGTGCAAGACATTGGGTTTATCTATACATATCATTTCATTTTATTCTCATGTCCCTCCAGTGAGGCAGGCACTGTCCTTACCCTCATATAGGAAGGAATTTGGGAAGTGATAGGTCAGACAAAGGGCTTAAAGAAATATCATGATTTGTAAGAATGAATATGCTAATAATAAATAAAAATTTAAAAGAAAAAGAAAAAAAAGAAGAGGGAGAGTTAGAATGTGGGTGCTCAGAGAGTTAGGTACATGGCGAGGGAATGAGAAAACCACAACTGGAGTCTGTTATAAAGCAAAGGGTAGTTTTTGTAAATACTTGCTGCTTTTCTATGACCTAGAAAGCCATTGTTCCTCTTTTTAGCTCAAATAACAAGACCAGTGGTATGGGGGGAAAGACCGATTACAGCAAATTGGTATGCTGTATAAATGAGAAATGGTATAACTAAGCTAACATAGAGAAATTTAGCTCAAATAACAAGACCAGTGGTATGGGGGGAAAGACCGGTTACAGCAAATTGGTATGCTGTATAAATGAGAAATGGTATAACTAAGCTAACATAGAGAAATGCTAAAATATTAACACCAAAACAAACATGATAGGGACAAAGATGTAACGAAGTGATCCAAGCAATTGTATATACATTGCAGAAGCAATTTTAACCTGTTTGAAAGTTATCTATTGAATTGCATGTACACTCATTTCAGGTTTGCATGAAGATATCCTACAAGGTTCATAAACAAAAGTATTTCTTCTTGCTTCATTACATTTAGGGCATGGATTTTAAATAAAAATCATTAACAATTACACGAGTTTTCTCGTTCAGTAGAACAAATCACGCCAAAGTGCTATATTTAAAACTATTAGGAAATTAATAGTTACTAGAGGCTTTTTTAAAGTTCTTTGGAGGGGGTTGGATGTTTCATAAATGTCTTGAGAAATACATCTTTAAAAACATTCTTGAACTTTAACAGTAGCACTGCCAAGGCAGCTTTAATCCACTTTGTGACATTCATTTGGGGAATTACAGTGATATATACTAATCCATCTATCTTAGTTCACTTATCTAACAACAAAGTTCAAAAAGAAAATGTAGGGCCGGCCTGGTGGCGCACTCGGTAGAATGCGGTGCTTGGGAGCGCGGCGGCCCTCCCGTCGAGGGTTCGGATCCCATATAGAGACCAGTCTGCCTACTGGTTGAGTGCAGTGCGGACGCGACACCGAGGGTTGCAATCCCGTTGCCGGTCGCGGTGCGGGCACGACGTTGTGATCCCGTTACCGGTCACAAAAAAAAAAAGAAAAAAGAAAATGTATTGACAGAGGCTATACGAAGTTATGC